GGTTTGCATCCATGATTTGATACTAGTCTTTTGTATAGCTTTCGCAATACCACAGAAGGGTTATGGGCCATTCAGAGCTTTGTTTGCTCCTGCTCGGGCTAGTGAGTATGCCTCTACAGTCTACATTGTCCTCGTTCCCTGTATGTGCTGGTACCCATGCTAGAGTCAGTCTGTTCTGACTGCCCAGTTCATTTAGGGTATCTATGCAGTCCCATACTAGTTTTGAGTTAACTTGCATAGATTTGACTGCTTTGATGGCCGCCTGGCTATCTGAATAGATTGGTAGCTAGTCGTTGCCTCTCTCTCGTTTGTCGTATTCATTGGTTGTTGCTCTATACATCTTTAGGCGCGATAATTGTTCGATTTGTAATTTCAACGTGTCAATTTCATTATTGTTACTCAAATTTTGACAAAAAAACGGATCTTTTTGGTTTAACACACTCACGGATCGGTGTATTTTGGTCAGCAAAGTCTTGAAGTACCTACATAATAATTGAATTCACACCAAAAATTCGAATCTTATGAAAGTAACTGCTAACTGAATTTTGGCGGTAGCTCCTTGCGCCTGGCGTTTCACTCTTTAACATTATATTATGTTGTCGTCATATCCTTCTTCGATCTCTAGCCTATATCTAGGAGATAATATAATCATTGGTTCAAACGTGAATAATGAAAACTGAAATTGGGAAGAACTTCAGGAGGAGACCATTCTAGTTTTTTATGTTGAGGTTAAAATTATCTTCTCTCCCATTCCTTCTCATTTTTAATGAAGTCAACATGAAATTTTCATTGATTATATCACGTTTGACCCTAAAGAAGGAGAAGACATTTGTTTTCTCTTTCAAATTCAGGAAAATTTCTCTATTCAAATTCAGTTGACTCGTCAAGATTCCAATGGTAGACGAGGCTTCATGTACAAATCTCATCTCAGAACTAGAATGAAAATTAACAAAGCAATAATATAAGTACCTTTACCAACCAAATATCTCATTTTCTCTATTAGATCCGGTCAGCCACATTAATTTTTCATAATTTTCAGGAGTCATTGATATATGAACAACTTTATCACTTGTGATGATCAATATTTTCAATTCCGATCCTCATTATTATTATTTTATCTCCATGAGATTGAAAAAGGAATACACGGGAAACCAAAACATACTTCAATTTTGAAACTGAATAGAATGTTTTAAATCTTCTCAACTTCAACACCATTTCATATCAACTTTCCTTAAAAAAAAATTATGAATGATGAAGTCAATGTTCTATTAGTACAGCAGAGTAATAGTAAGGAAGAAACAAGTAGACTCAAAATCATCAAACAATTTTTATTTTAAATTCAGCTTGAATTTGAATTATGGAAATGGAAAAATTGTATTTGTTGATATGTATGGATTGATGGATTGAGTTAACATTTTTTCAATCAATAAACCAGATGAATTCGCACAAGTTCGCAAACCATTGGAAAACTGTTTCGCCATTTCTGGGCAACAGAGAGGTATTTCTGTTTTCAAAAAACCTGTCATATTGTATAATATTCTAATTGATGTATTTATTGATCCACAGACATATATATCATAAACATGTTGATTTCCATAATTTAAATTTAGGATAATGATGACAAGTCTTCATAGGTGATAGTCCTCGTGATTTTATTGCGAGTAAGGCCTTCAAGTTTTTATATCTATAAATACAGGGTGTTCAAGTTTAGAAATTGCTTTTGGAATAACTCGAGAACGAGTGTTTTGCATTCAAATTCGGTATATGAAGATGAAACTTCAATTGTTGCGCAACGGGGGGTTGTGATAACATTTACACAATCCTTTCACTCACTTATTTTTTACGTCACTGAAAAAATTCACCTGTTTTCAATTTCTAGAATTGCTTAAGTAGATATTCAGTTTTGTTGAAAAAATGCATAACTTTTGACTCGGCTAAAAATGCACAGTTCAAGGTTATGTGTTTTTTCTACAAATTTCAACAGGGATTTCGAAAAATTTTACGTAGAGAATATGAGAGAAGAATTTACAATAATCCCTTGTTTCGCGTCGCTGGATGAAAACCGACATAATTGCCTTGTAAAAATTGAGGATTTTGAAGAGAAAATTATGTACCTATATATACCTATACTCGAGGAGCTTGAGAAAAAGTCGACCTCTAATTTTTCAACCTCAACACTCACTTGAACTTGGGGACCTATCCGATTATTGGTAAAATCACGAGTACTATCACCTGTGGACAGGGCCGATCCTAGCGGGTGTGCAGCGCGTGCCCCGCACGCAGGTGGCCAAAACAAGGGGCGGCCGCAGGCCGCATATTGTCCTATCAAACAAAATTATTTGAAACTCATAAGTCGAATGAATATGCTGCATTTTGAATAAATAAAATGATAGTAAATAGTGTGTTGGTCCATTGTCAATTAATGTCTACTTTTTATACACATTCTTATCTTCCCAAATTTTAAATTTCTATTTGAAACAATAACCAAGGGGCATATTTTTCAGACGCCTAAGGATGTTTTGTTCCATCACTGTGCGGTAGCTTATTTATGCATTTCTACTACTTACTAAGAGACTATGAGAGAAAATCCCAAAAAATCTGGAGAACATCCACTTGGTTAAACTACAGACACCATTTAAAATACTTTTCACTTGCTCTTATTATTGTTCTTATTTTCAGATTCCAGATCATTTTATATCAATTACAATAAACTGTAATATACTAATGTGATGAATTTGAATCCCAACAAAAATTTCGCCTGCGGCGCATTTTTTGCCATAGGAAAATTTTGTCTGAGTTTATTGGCCGCTCCCGGTATGCACTGAAATGGAGTTATTACCTGAAAGCATTTGACCTTGAACTCAGAAAAAATTCGCCTGCGGCGAATGAAGATTTTGTCTACATTTTTTTTCTGTGTTTTACTTCTTATCCTTGTACAAGTAGTTGAAGTTATGAAGTCATCAGGTATTATAGTTAAAAAATATGAAAAATTCTCTAGAGGGGCGGCACATTAGGTTTATGCACGCGGGCGGCCGACACCCTAGGATCGGCCCTGCCTGTGGAGCGTGTCGGTCGATTTTTGTAACACCCTGTACAGGGACCAGAAACATATACCATATACCCCATTCTAATGAAAATTGCGGAGATGATTTTAAGCCTACTCGCTTCTTTAAAAAAATCTACAGGGTGTTTCAGACTCAAATGTACATATGATACTGGCAGATAGAGGCAGATAGAGGACACTTTTGACGGTTTCATATCACCCCCATTAATGTGTTTACCGTATTTTATAACGGAGATACAGGACGTTATCTTGATTTTGGCAAAATCTTCATCTGGTCATAATATTTGAACCACGTTGTATAATTTATACTTGTTAGAAATATTCCACTTATATTACACATCAAAACTAAATGAAAATCGAAATCCAGATCCAGGTCCGTCTCAAGGAAAAACAGAAAACTTTTTTATTTCAAAAACAACACTCTGTATGGATCTGTTTTTATATTTGGAAAGAGCAGAAAAAACTTAATGAAGTTACCTATTTATTACGATCGCGCATCCAATTTGACACATGGTTTATTATTATGTTTTGAAATATTCGCCCCATTTCGAGACATTTTTATTGAACTGTAATTCAAAATCCAATTTTGATACAAAGAAAATAATTGTCGTTAAAGTTAAACTTCATTATAGAGTCATATTAGGTGAACTATTGATAGATTTGTTTGTTCGACAGAATAGCTTGTCAATGATTTTAGAAATTTTATACTTCACTATTTATTCATAAGCTGTGGTGAACTAGAAGCTGTGGTGAACTAGGCTGTGCAAAAAATTTTAAAATTCTAAAAGATCATAATCATCAGTGCGATATTATTGGTTACATTAAGTTTATTGTGTTGAGGCATAGTTATAAACACTTTGAAATGTAACAACCCAATAAACAACCACCAACAATTATCTTAACATTACCAATAATATCAAACTAGTGATTATGAACTGTCAGAATATCAGTTTTTTTGCACAGCCTACCTTACCGCAGCTCAGAATCAATAGTGAAGAATAAAACAATAAGCCCTCAAAAATTTCCAAAACTACCTATATTTGACTCAAATGATGTTGAACTATTGGATTGTGAATTAAAATTTCAATAGAACTGACTCAAAATGGAGCCGAATATATCAAAAAATAATAATGAAACATCTGTCAATTCGGATAAGCGGTCGTAAAAAGTAGGTCACTTCATTCGTTTTTCCCTTCTACTTCCCAAAATCTAAACAGATCTACAAAATGTTGATATACAGAGTGTTGTTTTTGATATAAAAGAAGTTTTTCCTCAAGACGGACCTGGATTTTCTGTTCCCTATTTTAATTTATTAACAAAAAAACAAAAATAAGATTTCAACTTTGACACTCTGTATCAGCATAACGGATAACTTTCGGACATAATATGTTCATACGAACTTTTCTACTTATTTTGACGTCAGCAACTTGCTCCTGAATTTTCTACACGTACTTGAGAAACACCATGTACATTCATTGACCAATCGAAACAGAGACGCCCTGTATTGCTTGCAAATTCTGACCAAGCAACCAAACTAAATCTCCAAAGAAAGGCAAATCTCGATCGCGAGACAAGGATAGACGGCTATATAGACGTTTTTTTTTTGCAATAAAATCTCATATAGCTGTACCCATTTCGGAATCAAATGTAATCATTCCATTTCTTTGTTCAAGATATCCATTTAAGAAGTTGTAGAATTGATTAGTATTCAGTTATGTGAATACCTGGTTACATGTAAACATTGCCGACATGGTATTATTATTTTGACCGGGTCACTTGAAATTTGGCAGTAGGTATGTCTACATGAATACCGGAACTAATCACTTATATATAAGAACTCGGGCTAGATGAATAATATTTAGTCGAGCGGAAATTATTCACAGATGGAAAGTGATTTTCCGATCGGGTTTACTGAAATTTGAAATTTGTTCGCCAGGAATGGAGAAAGGTGCGAAAGTTTGGTTTGGCATTGCCGCCTTCTTGGTTTTCGCAGTTGGTTGCTGTTGGGTGGATGGTAACCCCATTTTCGGTGAGTAATTCAGCATTTTGTTTGACAAGAATAGTGAATCGGGATGAAAAGAAACTTGGGGACGAGTAGAAATGAGTATGAAGCATTTGTTGAAAAAAACAAAAATTTCTCAAATTTTATTGTAGAAATTCAAAATCCTATGTGGGGTTCGCTTTATTGCATATCGTCGACGAAACCGCAAGTAACTGACAAAAATTCGAAAATGGGATTCTGGCGGCAATCGGTCTATCATATTGGTGGGGATACAAAACCCCTTATCTGAAATACAAAATGAAGGGGGTCGTCAAAAACAACTATCTAACAGTTGGCAACGTGATTCACGCCTCTGATATTTTGTGTTCAATTTCTTTTCACAGAGATCAATCTCTGCTATTTGGTGAGTGACTGTCTACAAACAGTCACTCACCAATTAGCAGCAACTACAGACCGATCGCACTGCTATCTATTATTTCAAAGATCATGAAGAAAGCTATCAACATCGAGCTCATGAAATACCTGGAACATTCAGGTATTATCAACGATAGGCAATATGGCTTCCGTCATCAGAGATCAACTGGTGACCTGCTCGCTTACGTCTTACATATACAGGGTGATCCACGGTGGATGGCCTATTAGAAGTATCTGGAGAACGAAAAGACAGAACATTCTGAAAATTGCGATTCTTCGATAATTGAACATTCTCTATCCATCTAAAATATTTTCATCGATACAGTGTTGCCACTTCTATCACTAACTAGCAACTAGCAACTTTGTTATTTCAAATGGAACACCCTGTATTTTATTGCATTTTTAGATTCTTTCAAAAGAGCTGATTTCATCAATGCATCACACTTTGGGTCTAGCAGGAATGAGTACAGAGATATAGGGTGTTCAAAATCGAGATTTTTCAATTTTAAGATTTTTTTGTGTCGAAACTATTCATTATCGATCAAAACGGCTAACATGTCCCTATCTCAACTTTTGATTGACTATCTACTGGAATTTGATTGGAAAAAATACAGGGTGTTCGAAGATTCAGAATTCTGATCACCCTGTATCTGTTCCAATTAAATGTCAGTAGATAGTGAATCGAAAGTTGAGATAGGGACATGTAAGCCGTTTTGATCGATAATGAATAGTTTCGACACAAAAAAATCTTGAAATTGAAAAATCTCGATTTTGAACACCCTATATCTCTGTAATCATTCTTGCTAGACCCAAAGTGTGATGCATTGATGAAATCAGCTTCTCAAGGAGAATCTAAGAATTCAATGAAATACAGGGTGCTCCATTTAAAATAACGAAGTTGCTAGTTGTTTCTGATAGAAGTGGCAACACTGTATCGATGAAAATATTTTAGACGGATAGAGAATGTTCAATTATCAAAGCATCCCAATTTTCAGAATGTTCTGTCTTTTCGTTCTCCAGATAGTTCTAAATAGGCCATCCACCGTGGATCAGCCTGTATAGTCGAGAAATCAACTTTTCAATGAAAAAACGGGTTTTCAATAAATGAAAGGCCCCGTGCCCTTAGACTATGGGCATTGACAACAATTCCACAACAAGTAGCATCAAAAATTTTTTCAAGTCCAAGTAATAAGTCAAGCACAAATTAGGTAATTCTTTCACATCAATTGATAATCTTTATTTTATATTGTAGAACTTCCAATTAGGCTGAAGATTGACTTTTATAAGACCGAAACACGTCCCTTATGATTATGTAAGAACACCGTTCAAACTTGTGGAGATGACTTCGAGCATTCTTTCGTTTCTATGAAAAATTTCACTCCACTTTGAGCAATATGGACTTCTAACAAAGACTTACCTGATAAGCTATAGGCCGCTAGGGCGATGATTCATAAATCTTTTTGGCGAAGATTTCGGCTTTCTCGTTGTCCTCAACGACCTCAACCAACCTTCGGCCCTTTGGTGTCCGAGCAATCATAGTAACGTAGGTATACCTACCTAACTCTGGTGTTAGTACCAATTAAAAAGAACTCTAGGAATTAAGTGCAGTTCCATAGAATCTTGGAGTTTCTCTTTGCGATGCCTAATGAGCAAAATTGTTCCGTCCCCTTAAAACGTAGTAAAAGCTTACACCCCGGGGTGCGTAGCGCGATGCCCAATTCCCACAATGCCCAATTCCCACCATGCCTACCTTCATTGCCAGGTTACGATAAAAATTCACAAAACACAAGATTCCCACCACGCCCACTTTTCATAGATTCCTATGATGCCCAATTCCCACCAATTCCCAAATGAAAAAACACATTTTTCTACTATGTTCAGAAACAAGTGAAACGAATTTTATGAACTTTGGCAATAGTGTATTTCAGAGGATTACTTTCCTTTTGGTAATCGAAGAAATCTAAAAGAGATTGTAGAAGGGTTAAAACCACCCTCACCCCCTAAAATCTTTTTCAGGACTTTTTTAGGGGTCATAATACGGTTCTGAAATTTTTTGAGCTTGAAGACTAATCAGTTAACTTAATTTTATTGCTCTTGTGAAAATTCCTGAAACCGCATATTTTCGAAGACAAAAAATGTTCTCTCAAATAATGCTACCAGATATTCTGAACGAATAATTTCGTGATAGATGGATTGGGAGGGGACAAGAAGCACCTATTCAATGGCCTCCGCGGTCTCCAGATTCAATTCCGTGCGACTTCTTCATCTGGTGAGCGATAAAAACACAAGTGTATGAAGTTCAAATTGATACTTTCGAACAACTGTGGAACAGAATCCAAAATGCCATTGACGCACTACGAGACAACGACGTTATCCTAATAAGGAAGGGTGCATTTAAATTTTTTTTCTACTCATATAACTAAAATGGCATTTATCGTACGGATATGTACCACGCTAAATGATCGATTAATCACGGATTGTCGATCTGTGATTTATTCAAAATATTAAACACGTTACCATGGCAACACGATTTCTTAAACACAATACCATGGCAACGCAGTTCATTAAACACAGCTTCAGTAAATTGAGACATGTCTGGCCTGTTAATTGTATTTACTGTCAACTGTTATTTTCATATTTTGTATCAGAATTATTCAAACAATATTCGTTTGTATCAGAATTCTTCATTAAAAATATATGCGAAATGTAGACGAAAGTGAAATCGAAGAGAATGTTCTGGTACTGTGCATATTGCCAAGAATAAGTGTAAAAATGAAGCATCCATCTTTGAGTACAATTTATTTATTCTGCGCTAAGCATGACCACCATGACAGTAAACGTGAAACAAAGGTTAGTAAGCAATGGACTGGACACATCTACAACCAATATCACTTATAAGTGTCTCGCTGGTTGCATGCAGTTGCATGTATTATGTTCTCAATTCCCATTCCTTTCGAATTATTTTGTAGGTTAGCAGGAATAGCAGGTATGTTAATGTAATTTTCGGAGTTCGTAGAAAAAGCATAGTATGTAACGCGTTCATAAACTCTTCTAGACACTCGTTTATTAAACACTCGCTCCGCTCGTGCTTAAAATACTCGTTACTAAAAGGACGTTTATGACACTTGTTACATAATATACTATTACGTCGAATTGGAAGGTGGGCGTCATATTGAACATTTATTATAAAGAAACGTTCTGCTTTCGTTTCCACTGCCAACTAAGTTTTATATCACAATTTCATTGAACTTGTAGGTACTCTTGTACTATAAGAGTAGCATTATTTGGGAGAACATTTTTTTCTTCGAAACTATGCGGTATAGGAAATTTTTACAGGAGCAACAAAATGAAGGTAATTGATTAGTCTGCAAGCTCAAAAAATTTCAGAACCGTATCATGACCCCTAAAAAAGTTCTGAATAAAATGTCAGGGGTTGAGGGTGGTTTCAACCCTTCTACATTTTCTTTCAGGTTTCTTCGATTACCAAAAGGAAATTAAACCTCTGAAATACACTATTGTCAAATTTCATCAAATTGGTTTCACTTGTTTCTGAACAGCGTACAAAAATGTGTTTTTTATCTGAACCAGTGCCGGATTTATACTCCCTAACGCCGAAGTCTAACTTTTACGATGCCGCCGCGCCGCCGCCAAATATTTGTCGTGTTCATATATTTCGATCATCTATTTTTGAAATTCTTACTCTTCTTTTTCTCGTATTGAATGTAAAAAATATAAAACCATTTCCGCCTTGTGATCGTGAAGTTCCCGGAGACGGTTCTGTCGGTTCTGATTCTGTCTCATTCGAATTTAGAAATAATGAATGTATTATAGGGCATTTCTTGACAATTTCGTCTAACTGCTTTTGTTTATTGATCTTCTGCCGTTTCCAGAAAGCACCACCTTCTTTTTTACTCATTTTTTCATATTTCAGTTTCAATATCTTTTTATTATTAGTACCATTACCAACATTACCAACGACAACCTATTGTGGGACCAGATGTACCACCACCTGATACATGAAACATATAGTATATTCTCCATTGCTAGTTATCATAGCAACCACAACCAGTAAAGTTTGATGTATGGTATTAAAAATAATGTTATGTCATGTCAGAAAATGTTGATGTGTATGTCAGTGTTTTATATTAAAGAGTTCTATCCTGCTTGACCGTCCTTTTGCCTGAATTACCATCCCACACTATTAAATACTGAACTCTGATTTAGTTTTTTGTCATTGAGTTAGAAGAATCACGAAATTACCCCTACTCTACTGGGTAGAATGCGGTTTTTCTTTACATTATCATATAAAAGTATGTATTGTATTGTTGCGTCAAAGACACGGCTTACGCTAGATTAGTGCATGTTATGATTTTCACAAAAACAGTATCTCAACCAGTCAATGACTGTATTGCTGGTTGCTTCTCCTCTTTTTCTTTCCCGCCTCTTGAAATTCACCGCCGGGGGCTGATAGTCCCATAGCCCCCCCTAAATCCGGAACTGATCTGAACTTTGAACCCTTCTCACGGACAAACGGTACATTCTGGCACATAAATAAACTGGGTCTAAACAACTTATTTAGACCTCCTATACACGTGGACACCCTGTATATATATTTTTCAAATTTCAGGTGTTTGCATCAGGAATTGCGCCCAGTGCAAGAAGATGTTTGGGCCTTATTTCGAGGGACAGCTATGCGCCGACACCTGTGTCAAGTACAAGGCGAAAATAATTCCGGACTGTGAGGACATAGCCTCGATAGCACCGTTTCTGAATAGATTCGATTAGACTTAGACGAAAACGAAAACACATTCAGGAAGACGATTGATAATCTAGTCAGGTTTCGGAAAGTTCCTCGCATTCCTTTGCTATTTATAATTTTGTCGAAGAGATGCCCAAATAATGATTGTAATATTTATTAGGCGATAAAAAACAAATGAACTAAATACTCATAAACATTCAGGCTATAATTACCGGGTGTCAACGACGTCAACGAATTCATTTTAGACAAGTCCTATAATTTCAGGAGTTCTGAAGGTATGATATTCAAATTTGGCAGAGGTATTCAAGAGTTATAACGTTTTTCGATATGTCATACCCTCCCATCACATCCAATTTCACCGGAAACGATCCCAACTTTTGATTTTCAATTGCCCCATGCAATAATTAGTTGGGGATTATCATAACGAATTCAACGATGCCGGGTTTTATAGACATATTTTGAACAATTTCGAAATATACAGTCTGTCCAAGATAAGGTTGAACAGCATGGGGATCTCGAAATCGGTAGGAGATACGAAGTCGGTTAAATGGGGAAAAAGTTGCGCATTCGGAGGCTCATATCAAGAGCCTTCGAAAATTTTTGGAATTATTCTTAGTTTTTTAGTTATTTCGAAAAAAGTGAATTTTTGAAATATCTATTTTATTTTTTTTTCTCCCTTATTATTAGAGATACAGAAAAACTGAGAATACTTTTTCATAGCAACTTTTGATGACGTTCAACGTGGTGATACCGATTTTTCTATGCGACGTTTCGTATTCGTGGAACCATCATCAACTTTTGTTTTTTAAATACGGCCCTGATAATTTTTCACAGATTCTGAAAGGTTTTTTTATTTTGAATTCAACCATGTATTATACAAGGTGATTCGAATGTGTTTCGACCTATTTCTATCCATCATCAATGTTTTTTCGAACTTCCAAAGGAAAAGTGTCATCCGTTCCATTTATTTCTGATCATTTAGTGTCAAACATTGATGGATCAGTTATTCAATACTTACTGAAAAGTGAATGAAAAATATTTCGCTACATCATTCAATGCAGCGCTTAAAATTGTTGATGAATTCCTACACGAATTACTTTAACAACTTAACTTTGACAATGATACCTTCAGAAACATTCATAACAAATGTTCAAAATGATTATCATCATTTTCTGAACAAAGATATCCTCTTCTCACAGTTGCTTCTAAGACAATACTAATCATTTCTGGGGTTTTTCTATTGAATGCTTCGATGACACTGTCCCTTAGTTCTTCTTCATCATCAAATAAGCTATTTGCGTGTACAAGTTTTTGATATATCCCCTAAAAAAAAATCCAGCTGTCTCAAATCAGGTGACTACGCCGGCCAAGGGACTGCAGAATGAGTACCAATCCATTTTTCTGGATAAAAACGCACGAACTTCTCTGGAATTATGTACCGGAGCGCCATCTTGTTGAAACCAACAGTTCTGAACTCCCGCAATCGGTAAATCATCCAGATAGCTTCCTCAAGATGATTCTCAAGCAAATTTCTATAATGTTAGGGAGTCTGTGTTGTATGGTGAATAAAAGGACCAATAATTATTCGTGTACTAAATATTGCAACCCACATATTAAAGCCGAAACGGTGTTGGTGTCTCGCTGTCATGTATAAATGTTCATTTTCTCGTGAACAATAATGTGTATTTTTTCTATCGAGGATACCATAATTAGTGACCATGCTTTCATCAGTCCAGATGATTGTTCGCGGGAAATCTGCAAAATTTTGACATTTCCTGGTATACCACTCGCAGAATGTCCTGCGCCTTTCGTCATCGCCTGGTTTTAGCGCTTGACATATTTTGAATTTGTATGGATGTGGAATTTTTGTTTCCGCAAAATGAAATGGGTTGTTGATTGAAACCAGTTGATGAGGTATTAGTGTGTTGACTAATTTTCCTTCAAAATAAGTGGAACTGATGGCATTTTTCCTTTGGAATTTCGAAAAAACATTGATGATGGTTAAAAATAGGTCGAAACACACATAAACCACCTTGTATAATACATGGTTGAATTCAAAATGAAAAAAACCTTTCAGAATCTGTGAAAAAATGACCAGGACCGTATTTAAAAAACAAAAGTTGATGATGGTTCTACGAATACGAAACGTCGCATAGGAAAATCGGTATCACCACATTAAACGTCATCAAAAGTTGCTATGAAAAAGTATTTTCAGTTTTTCTGTATCTCTAATAATAACGGAGAAAAAAATAAAATAGATATTCCAAAAATTCACTTTTTTCGATATAACTAAAAAACTAAAAATAATTTCAAAAATTTTCGAAGACTCTTGACATGAGCCTCCGAATGCGCAACTTTTTCCCCATTTAACCGACTTCGTATCTCCTACCGTTTTCGAGATCCCCATGCTGTTCAACCTTATCTTGGACTGCTTGGACAGACTGTATTTGCGTTTGAAGTTACGATATATTTTTATGATCAATCGCTGAAACTTCTTTTTCTGCAACACTTATTGATGAGCATATGGAAATTTCGAACGTGAAATCATCGTATTATTTATTCAATTCTGATTGGTCTATCAGCGTTGGTGTTTTCAACGTTGTAACCATGATGGATAGTACCTAACGCAAAGTCTGTCAGTTTGTCATAAAATAATTATAGCTGTAGATGTTAGAATGAACGCTATGGTTATATTATGGCTTGCATGATTATTTATAATAAATGCTTCGTGAAATATTCTACCAATAAAATGCCACTCTGTTCTGAATATCGTCTCATAATTCTGTCTCCTATTGTGAAGCTAGTGATTCACACGGGACCAACGAAACGAGACTTTCCTGAAGTCTCGTCTCGTCTCGTCTCGCCGATGGAATGTGAAGTCTTGTCTCGAGTCTCGTCTCGCAGCCTCAAGTCTCGTCTTGTCTCGCGTCTCGTACGAGAGTCTCGCAAAATGTATCGCAATTTCGTCATGAATAATCTTGTTCCAATCTAGAACGGAATATTTACCTTTACCTACTTTTTAGGGATGATGTAGAAGTTAGAAGAAAGAATGACAACAAATATAACAATATTTCGAGCATTATTTATTGAAAAGTAAGTACCTAATAGGTACATACTAGAAGGCGATAGGCGATGCAACCGTGGCGTCGACGGTCCGTCAAAACAAAGTTATTCTCAATCTTAGACTATTTAGCACAGATTGAGTCATTTATAGATTTTCAGGTAGTCATTCAATTTGCGATCTGTCGTTATTGCAGAATTGCCTTTATATTCCGCCGCCGTAAGAGAGAGAATAGTCTGCTTTCGTTTCACGAATTACATCGATTTACAACAATCATGGATTGTGTTTTCAACGTATATATTTATTAATGAAATGTTTTGTCTATCTGTGCTAAATGGTCTGAATTCTTTCTAAATATGTTGTATTATGAATGAAATTCTCAAGTCTGCAGTCGGCACGCAGAAATATTTACCTGCGAGACTCTCGCACGAGACGTCTTGTACGAGACTCGAGACGAGACCAACAAAAGTCTCGTCTCGTCTTGTCCAAGTCTCGTCTCGAGTCTTGTCTCGAAAACAAGGCGAGACCATGCGAGACTCTCGAAAACGAGACTCTCGCGGGCACCACTATGTGAAGCCGGCACCAAAATTTCGGGAAGAACAATGCGACAGAATTTTCTCGAATATTCAGAACATCGTGATAGTACTGTTGATGATACCTAACCGATTATGGAATAAAATGCAGTACGGTGTTGAATTGGAAAACCAAAAGTTGGGGTCGTAACCGGTGAAATCGGAAGTGACGGGTGGGCACAAAATATTGCAAAATTTTCCAATTCTCGGATCCTACATCCCTGCCAAATTTGAATCTCATCCTACGGAACTCTCGAAACCATGGTTATCTAAAAATGTTGTTGATACCCGGTATGATATGTGAATATCGGATTATTTACAATCAAGTTTCCATTGATGCTTTACCAGATGGTCACAAAAATTATTGGACCACCACATTCGATTTACTTGCGGTTCAGTGGACCAACCTGTATATTAGCATCGTTGATGGAAAATCGTAGGTAACTAGATCTTCAATCAGCATCAGTGTAATCGAGTACAGTAAGGAAAAATAACATAACATATACTACAAAAGCCACTTGATAATTCTATTTAAAAAAATATCAAAAAAACATTGTTTTAAAATATGATTTTTGGAATATGGAACAAAATAATGACAGAAAACCATGTTGTCTTATACAGTTGTATTATACCATGGTGTTTTTTCATCAATTCATGAGGGTTTATTATTCTGTGAAGCTTTGCCATGCATGCTCATGACATATACCGGGTGGCTACGGAAGTATTGCCTACGGAATATCTCTGTTATTGTATGAAGTAGGTTTGTGAAATTTGGAGCGTCGATATAATGACATAAGAGCTAGAATTTGAGCATATTGACATGTCGAAGTTATCTTCCGGTCTGACCGGTAGTAACATCAACTTTCTTATTTGAAATGGAAACCCTATTTTTTTTTCTTTTCGCTTTATTCAGCTTTCAATTACCTTTCTAATGACATATCACAAGTTGGTATCTAACCAGAAACTAGGTCAGAAAAAAATTATTATTGAAATTCACCGAGTAGGCCGTGGAAGAAAAATGAAAGCCAAAAATTGAAAAGTTGGCTATGGAAACCATACGTCACTTGATAACAGTTGCTACTACTGTGATATTTTATTTTCATTCGTCGGCGTTATAAAAAGCCGCCAAAAAAAATATTGGAAAAATTGGGAAAAAAACAATACTCTGTAGGTCCATAACTTGAATAGGAACATACAACTTTTTCTTGCCTGTACTATTCAGCATAACCATTCCTTTCTAATGATATGATAGAAAGTCATTTTTTGGCTTTCATTTTGCTTCCACGGCCTACTCGGTGAATTTCAATAATAATTTTTTTCTGATCTAGTTTCGGGTTAGATATCAACTTGTGATATGTCATTAGAAAGGGAATTGAATGCTGAATAAAGCGAGAAGAAAAAAAAATAGGGTTTTCATTTAAAATAAGAAAGTTGATGTTACTTCTGGTCAGACCAAAAGTTAACTTCGACATGTCAATATGCTCAAATTCTAGCTCTTATGTCATTATATCGACGCTCCAAATTTTACAAACCTACTTC